ATAATAATAATAATAATAATAATAATAATAATAATAAATTCCAGAAATAACATCAACAGAAGTACAAAAACCAGAAATATTAAGAACAGCATATATACTGCACCGATATTTAACAAACTTAGGTGTTTGTTAAAACTTGCATCTGTTGCTTAATACCAGTCATTGTTTTTGTAGTTTTGATTGACTGTGCCTGGTGTTTTTGAATAATAATAATGTGCCATCAAGACAATTCTGACTCATGGTGGCCCTTTTCAGGATTTTCCAGGTAGAGAATACAGACAAAGTGACTTCCCATTCCCTTCTTCTAGGTGGTGCCCTGGGACGGTGCAGCTTGCCCAAGGCTAACCCAGGCTGGCTCTTCTCCCAAGAGGCACCGTGGGGGAATCGAACTCCCAACCTCTGCCTCGACAGCTAGATACCTAAACCACTAAGCTATTTAGTCTGCTGAATATATTAATATCTCTTCCCTTTTCATTATTATTGCAGCAGAATGCAATGACTGCAATCCCTAATCAAAACCTATGTTTTTGCCTCTTGCAGGTTTCTTGTTCAGTTCAGACATGACAAAGTGTGTGTGAAGTTTGTACGGGGCAACCAGAAGAACGGCAACATTCCCACTTGCAAGCGAAAAAACAACAGGCTTCTGGAAGTGGCTGTACCTTAATTGTACACATTTAGATGTACTCTCTTAGCCTTTGTGGACACAGTTCTTTGTAATCGTGCAATTTTATCCTGAGCAGGGGAAGGAGAGGATTTTGTGGGAATGATGTGTTGTCAGTGGCTGATTAACTATGGAAACCCCTTGCTTAAAAAATTTAACAAAATTATCAACACGAATGTTTGGTATTTGTATGGCAATGTCCGGTTGATATACATATATTGAGACTTGGTGAGCTGGTACCGTATTATAAAACAGTCAGTTCTTTTGTCACACTTTTAATGTCTTAGTTTCTTCTTCACTCTCTTTAGTGATGTGCATCATGAATTCATATCCTTTGATGACCCTTTCTTCATACACAGAAGATTGTGGTCCTCCACTTCCAGCTATAGAGACTGCTAGAAAGGTTTTGTGGTGTTGCTTGTGCCTGTTTTCTGTCTTGTTCCGTTCTTCTGCAAAGTTCAGCCCAAAGGGTTAATTACAATCCAGGGCTGGCCAGTCTGGCAAAATCCTGGGACAAAAACAGTTACCGTAATTGCAAACAGCATCCAGCACTGTGTAATTTGATCTTCAATGGAATATAGGGCAGGAAACCCTAATTCTGCAAAGCAGAAGGAATGTTTGACTGCATGTGGAACAGCTGCATATACTTTTTAAAAAGAGCATGGAAAAAGCTGGGGTTCTGCATCAGACTTTTTAATTGATACTTTTAATGACTTTACAAGAGTAGGAAGCAGAATGAGTACATTCAGGAAACAAGGTATATATTAATTAGTTTAACAATACTGTATATCCAAAGCATGTTTTCCGTTCCATGTCTCTCTCCCCCCCCCACCCCGCTCAAACCTCCACTTTTAAAATGAATTTTTAGGCCAACATCCTATTAGTAACCCAAATTAGAGCAGACCTATTCAATGGGTGGGGTTTACATAAGTGTTGTTGACTCACCATTTACAGGGTGGGACTAGCAATAGGATTTAGGCCATAAATGGTTAAACTCCCAACATGCAGTTTTTGGCATGTAGGAACAAAGAGCAGAACATTTTAAACAACTAGTTAGATGAAGAGTTTATCTCTCTTTTTTTTCTTCCTGACGTTGGTGTATGTGCTGTACAAGTGTGCAATAAAGCATTCATTCAACATGTGAAAATTATTTATAATAACTTCTGTGGGTAATAATGACGGTTGGGACATTCTACATATTTTTTAAAAGGACTGAAGTTAGGCTAGCATTGTGTTCACTCTGATGGGTTTTGTTTTTCCCAATGTACACTACAGTTACCATTTCAGAAGAAAAAAAAATCATTTTGGGGGGATGATGTACATACATTTGCTATTAATGATAAAATAATTGTTCTAATTCTGTGCTCTTTGGTACTCTTGTGATAACCATATTTTTGTATTTCAACCCATTTTATATAAGTTTGTATGCCTGATGCGTAATGTGTGCACAGAAACACTTTACAATCAAGAACTACATTCTAAACTTCCCAAGTACAGATGGCAACTTAAAGCCTGGTATAAACCCGAGAGGATTAGCCGAAAGCATTGATTTATGGAGTGTTGTTTTCAAATATTTAGACAAAGGTTAGCCTAAGGAGGTTGTTTGACTGATTTTGTCAATGTAAGGATGTGTTTCTGTCTGTTGTATCCTCAGTCTAATGCAAGAACTTGCCTTGAAGGAGAAGTTGCTGCACATGACATATGATGCTAAAAAGTCCAAGTATGAATAAAAAGAAGCTTTGAAGCATTTACTACTTATGTTTGGGCTTAAATTACTATTTATTTTTCAGACATGAATATTTTTATTACACAGTAGAGTACAAAAGAATAGACAAATTAGTTATAGCAGATGCATACAATTTACTTTTTTTAGACATATTTCTTAAATAAAAAATGATTGTTTTTGCATATGTCATTCTGATTCTGTCCCATTTGATACTGGATGAAGTTACTTCAGAAAAGCTGTGCAAAAACTGAATTTCAGCCACTTGCCAGTTGCTTTACATGCTATTTTATACCAAGCCCTGGAAAGTCAAGCCTTCAGAGTCTGTGTTTCCTCATCCAGTGGAAGTCACCCAAATATGAAACTCTGAATCCACTGAGTGTGCACATCCTATGGCAATGGATTTTTTTTAACGAATCTCCCATCTTGCAGCACATTTTGGTGGCCAGGAGTCAGAATCCAGGATAAGATTGCACGCAGAATAATTTTTTTTATTTTGAAAGAAGGCATGGCTGACTCAAGGGAACTCTGAGCATGAGTACGCCATGCTACAACATTTATTACAGGCCTTTCTTTTACCTTCTAATAGACTTTGGATCAAAACCAAGATCAGCTGAGAAATAAAAGGGAAGTGTCAGGATCAGGTAAACTCTGAGCATGTTCAGTTGCCTCAAAGATTCAAGGGATAAGGGATATCAATGGGAAAAGAGAAACTGAAAATTACAGGAGTCAGAAAAACAGGCTGACCCCCTTGGGCTTTTTACAATCTATATACCATCCTGGAGATGGACATGGATGGCTTGCTGCTAGTGCACTGAATGGGAATGGCAGATGCTATTCTCTCCTCACACTCCCCCAATGTTTATGTTCTAAATCCTCCCTTTTTGTTCACTTCAGGGATGGGACCTGTTCCTTTTGGGTTTGCAACTCCCAGAATTCACCAATCATGTACCCACAATTCAAAAAGCCAGGAAATGGCCCAACATGGCTGCATCATATTGTACCTGCAGTTGCCAGCAGGAAAAAGGATGCCAAGATTTACACAGCCAAGGGCACCCTGAATGTTGACAACACCCATGGCAGCAGTGAAAATGGTCTACAGCAGGATAACCTCTTCTGCTCACTACCATTCACAAAGTGACGCCACGCAAGGGAAAATCCCAGAAGTCAACTCCTTTTTTCATCAGTTAACCACTTCACACCCAAACGCAAAGCTGTTTTTCAACATGGCTGCCAGTAAGAGCCTTGAGCTATTAATATATCATTTGCATTGATATCCCACTTTTCCTCCATTGAACTCAAGTGTATATATGTTTCCTCCTGACTTTACCCTTAAAACAACCTTGTGAGGTAGGTCAGGCTAAAAGAGCTGTGACTGGACCGAGGTCACCCAATGAGTTTCATGGCCAAGAAAGGATTTGAATCCAGGTCTCCTAAACTATAAGGAAGCTATTGGTGTTATATGGTACAGGCCTCTCCTCTCGGTGCTCCCTAAACAAGACTGGGAGGGGCAGTGGTGACTCATCCATTAGGGCAAGTGGTGTGGTGCCCCCCACCTCAGGCTCTTCTGGCCAGCCCACCCTTCTCTGCCACCTTATAGCCACCCCTCTCTGTGTGTGAACAATTGTCTGCTTGTCTCTGGGTGGGGGAGGAGTGTGTGTGTGTGTGTGTGTGTGTGTGTGAGAGAGAGAGAGAGAGAGAGAGAAGATACTACCTTTGTCTCTCTATGCCTGTGCCCACCATTGGCTGCTGCACCTTCTGCCCCACCATCCCTTATGGGCACCAGTTGCCACAGGGGAGAGATTCAATCTGCCGGTGAGAGATACTAGCAGATACAACCCCCTGCATCTGCTGGTATTCTACCAGCATTTGCATTAAAAGCTGGCTTGCATCTGTTTGTCTCAAATGGAGCTGTAGTGTGTATGTCACTCATCCCCTGGGGTAGACAGAAAAAAATCTGTCTCCCAAAGTTAGCACCGTCCTATTCAGTTTTTGTCCAATCAGGTGCCCAAACAGTGACCCTGAGGAGTATACAGCAAGTTAAGAGACCTGCCTTACATCATATTCAGATACCCTAAGGCATTGTTATTCCCTCACTTATGGGAACTCTTAAATTTTTTTTTATTTTTTACTACAGTTCCCAGCCAGCATGCCCCTCCTCTGGGTGTAGTAGTAGCAGCTCAAAATTTAACTATCCCTTCTCCTTCCCCCCCCTCTACAAATGAAAGTTTCCAAGGGCATGTAGGAAGCAGGCTTCCTTCAAGATCCCCTTTCACATGTCTTTTGAAAAATCTGCCATCCCTAAGTGAGACCATCCAAGCAAATGCAGGCTCAAGGGACTGGTTGGAGTCCTCCACCTTGCCCCTCAAGTGGTCCTCTGCTGTCTCTTGACTAGACACTTCGGGCATGGAATTCATGGGGGCAAGCTGACAATCCATGGTGTTTGCATATTGGATCTCATCACCTCTCGTCTTGTCCGTTTAGCTAGCCTGTGAGTGTGGGATGTTTAAGGCTGGGAAGGAGAATGTACCACTGGGGAATTTCTGCAGCCCACTCTCAGCCCCTCCTTAGGAGCTGAACATTGCTTGCTAACCTCAGCCACCCTCTGTGCCTCCAGAGGGAGAAGTTGAAAGGAGGCCTCTTCCAGGCACGGAGCAAGGCAGCGTCTGCAGATCTGCTGCGATAGGCCTGAAAGACAGAGCTCGAGAGCATGATTTTTTGCAGGAAATGGCAATTGCCATGATCCACCAGCCAGCATGGCCGCTAGTCCAAAGAAGCAATTACTGCTAAGTTCTGCTGCAGTCTATATTTCTGCTGTCGCACATTCAGCAGTTTAGAGGGCAGAAGGAGATGTAGCTTCATGAAGGGAGATGAAACCTCACACATTTCACAACAACACTTTGTAGTTTCTCCTCTTGTTCAACAGGCACTCTCACCTGGGTGGAAACAAGATTGCTGAACTGCAGTATACCTGGTTCCCTGTTGATTATGAACACAACATTTCACAACAAAGCTTTGTAGTTTCTCCTCTCGTTCAACAGGCACTCTCGCCTGGGTGGAAACAGATTGCTGAACTGCAGTATACAGTACCTGGTTCCCTGTTGATTATGAACACAAGGGCCCTACGTTTAAAAGTTTTGCAGTTGCTTCCTTTGTTTTAGCTACTGCTTTGTTCTGCTTCCATCTGAATTTCATTAAGCCGTGTAATTTCACTCTGTTTTTAATTTTCCATTGGCTTTTGTGCTTAATTTTTCAGATCCACATTACTGACCTTATCAACATCTCAACTGTTTCTGATGAGTCATACAAAGTCTTAGAACAGTGGTCCCAAACCTTGTTTCCCCAGATGTTCTTGGAGTAAAACTCCCGGAAATCTTCACCACGAACTGTGCTGGCAAGGATTTCTGGATGTTGTAGTCCAAGAACATCTGGGTTACCCAAGATTGAGAACCTCTTTAGGACATGGGGCAGATATTTTGGAACCCATGCGCTTCCTGCTCCTATGCATGACGAATGTTCCGTAGTCCACAGCTATGATGTTATGTAAGTATGATGCTTGAGTGAAGCATACTCTGCACATTTATCTTGCTGCTTGTGCTTTGCCTGAAAAGAAATATGGGTGAAATATTATTATCTAAACCGGTACAGTTTGATAAAGTCCTCAACAGTTCTCTGAACGTATCTCATGCGCTTCCTGCTCCTATGCATGACGAATGTTCCGTAGTCCACAGCTATGATGTTATGTAAGTATGATGCTTGAGTGAAGCATACTCTGCACATTTATCTTGCTGCTTGTGCTTTGCCTGAAAAGAAATATGGGTGAAATATTATTATCTAAACCGGTACAGTTTGATAAAGTCCTCAACAGTTCTCTGAACGTATCTGTGACAAATCCTCTAAACCGGTACAGTTTGATAAAGACTATGCTTACAAGTCCTCAACAGTTCTCTGAACGTATCTGTGACAAATCCCCTTTATGAACCAGCACAGATGATCCAATTGCCACAGATTTGATTTGCGGCGTGTATTAGATTCTAAATTGCAGGCAGTGCTCATACAGGGTCTGCGGACTGATTCATGAGTTCACTGTTCATACAGGATATTTTGTGATTCCTTCATCTTCCAATCCTTCCTTCCTCTGATTCTTCCAATCCTTCCTTCCTCTGGTCCCACCTCTGTAAGTCCTTTTCTGCCTGCCCTCATTCAGGAACTAATAATAACAAAGACCCAGTGATAAGGTGATGGGGTGATCTAATGCTAATTTCATATATGCAAGAAATGTTTGAGAAATTAAAAATAATTGATGGGGGAATCAGTGAATGAGGGAGCACATTGCCCTGATTCTGAACATCATGCCCACACTGCCTACACTGCTGAAACACTACTTTAAAAAGAGAACCTGTTGTTCTCTGGTTTCTGTAAACTCTTGGGTCGCCTGAGCTGCTGTGTTAGCATTTCTTACAACTTGTTTCACCTACTGTAGCTCATTATGCAGTGGACCGACACTTCTGAACCCATATAGAGACTGTGAGTTCAATCAAGCTTTCTCACCTGTGGGAAGCAAGATGTTGGCCAGCAGTCAGGGAGGATGGGGTTACAACTTGTTTCACCTAGCTCATTATGCAGTGGACCGACACTTCTGAACCCATATAGAGACTGTGAGTTCAATCAAGCTTTCTCACCTGTGGGAAGCAAGATGTTGGCCAGCAGTCAGGGAGGATGGGAATTGTACTCCAGCATCTGAGAATCCAGTGGTGACCCAACCCTTTAAGGATCACATGGATGTGGAACTGGATATGTCAAGAATACAGCAAATTGTTCAGTTAACTGCTGCATTCAAAATCTCTTGCCTACGTATGCATTCAGATCTTCAAGGAAGCCTCCCACCTTCCTGCCTTTCCTTTACTATCATCCAACTTTCTTCTTACCCAAAATTCAATTTGTAAATTAAAAGTAAAAATATCTACCAACACCTAGTAAAAATTATTTTAATATCATGGTATTGAAATGGGGAAACTTGAATTTTGT